CAAGTAATGGAAGTTCAGGTGCATGCTATATGCAATGCTATTTAGTGGGGTGTAGCTTTCATTACTTGCTAGCTAAACTAGCCTCATAATTGTAGTACAAAACTAAGGGAAAAAAAACTTTTTATTGATAACTACATCATAAGCAATCTATTTGAGTTTGTGCTACTAAACAGCTGGACACAGTTTGAGGGAAATATGTGAATTAGACATGCAGTTTGCACAATGCTAACTTCATCACTTATTAGCTTCATTAACATTGTAGCCCCAGTTTAAAACTAAAGAAGAAAATTTCAGACACAAAATATATATGGCTCGATCATCTATATTTGGGTGTAAGGAGAAAACTGTGTCAGTTATTTTTGTGAGCTTTCATTGAAGCAGATGGATTTATTTTGGCTAGAAGCAAAGTGTTAACGTTTGAGCTGATTCAAATGATTCTCACAGATGTTGTCCTTTCTCTCCGATTTGTTCTGTGAAGTTTCAAGAAAGGCAGTCCTGCTGCAGCATGACAACACACCAAAACAAAACAAACCGCTCCTGACCCCGCGTGGTTGTGAAAAGGGTTGCGCAATGTTTTGAATGTCCTATTCTTGAGCCTGTCACTTACAATTTAAAACAATGTGCTTCCATAGGGTAGGAATGCAATCCAGCTTTGGTCAGCTAAAGGGGCCTCCTCTCCATATTACACTGAAATCCTAGGCTTAACTCCAAGTCTGACTTTAACCTAGATTTGTATCCCTAAGCCAGTACAGCCACTGCAATTCAAGTCAAGTATTACATAATCCTGTGCACCATATGTATATGACTCTTCACTGAGGATTAATGCCATATGGTGACACATCCCTGTTGGCGTTTGCTATTTTTAGGCTAAGCATTTCTGAAGTGGCTCATCTATACAGAGTTCATGCCAACATGGAAGATCCATTATTAAAAAAAGAGCCCTGGTGGTTGCATAAACAGTGTGTTTTCTCCAAGCATACTGCTTTAGCTTTGGACAAACAAGATTCAGCTGCTGAGTTCTCCTGGCACAGATGTGGCTAAATTCACTCACTGCAGACAAAAGCTGCCTCAGAATAGTGCGTGTGGGCCATGCAACGTCCAGTGGCACCATACACGGCTCCTCAGACAAAAGAGTGGCCTAGCGGAATGCTCAGTGGCCTCGGGGCTGTGGGGAAGGCAGCCACAGAGCTGGAAGACGCAGGGTAATTGGGGGGTTTGAGAAGAAGCAGAAGAAAGACAGGGGCAAGACAGTAAATCTGTCTGGTGGATAAGAATATGAAGCTGAAATGTGAATCGTCCACGTCAGCAGGCTGTGGGGAAGCAGGCGGAAAGCATCAGGCCCTGTCTGAGCTACTGTAGAACATAACTCAGCATAATGCATTAAGCAATGATTCAGGGTGGCCTGAAGGGCTCAACTAACTGAAGCATTTTTAAATAATTACTCCAATTCAGTAAGTCTGAAAGCATGCCCTTAAGCCATCATACCACATCTCTCATTAAAGCACACGTATTTGTAAAATGTCAGGACTAAAAGGATAATGACTCAGTTTCAGGTTCTGTTTCAGCACAATTCCCTTTTTTAATGCACCAACACAACAATAAATCAAGGTCAGCTGTTAAGGTCACGGAGCATGAAAGCATATGCTGCTCCACGTCACATAACCAGTGACAATGCTATGTAAACATGCTCCTCCCCCGCACCCCTATTGAGGCCATATGGTGCTCTGTTTTAGGAAACACATAGACAATTAGGAACAATGATAAAGTCATCATGGGAACAGGAGATTATCAGGATATGCATGTCTGAGAGGCTCTTGGGGGACATCCTATCTAGGCCTATTTGTTAAAATGCATATCACTTATTATTGAGCATTATAGCAAATATTATTACATTATCCTTGTCTGTCATCAGGCTCCCAAATATAATTACTGCAATTATATACAGAGTAAGATTATACATAATATTGTTATATTAGCATATTTTTTATTTATTCACTCTAACTTAAATTGACTAAAATGGTAGCCTTAAAATCATTTTTAAATCAGAATAATCCCCCTGACACACACATACTGACTTGTACAAAAGTCAAAGACCACCTTGTCATTTATTTAATTTCCAGCCATTCAGTTATTCATTTTATACAACATGTTTCTGAGGAAACAGATATTAAGTAACACAATATTAAGTAAAAAAATGTAATAGACATAGAGAAAACAGGAACTGGTAGACCGCCAAAACTGTCACCATCAGATAAACAGGACTTTAAGCTTTCATGAGAGACAAATCAAGCCCCACTCTTGCTTCAGATCTGAAAATATCCATCCTTCCACTGTGAGAAGACAACTCAACACTATGGGTCTGAAAGGATGGGTAGCGGTCAAATAGCTGTTACTAGCAAAAGGAAATACATAACAAAGAGAACATTTTCAGATCAATCAAAGAAGCCACTGGTATTGTCAGAACAATGGACTGACCACCCTAGAGTCCAGTCGTCAACATCACTGATTTTATTTGGGATTACTTGGATTGTGAGAAGCTGAACCAACCAATATCTAAGAAGTGTGGAGAAATATCCCTGCAGATTTCTTTGAAAAACTGAAAGGAAGTGTTGTGAAAAGAATAGAAGCTGTAACAAAGCAAAGTGTGGGCACACTAAACGCGCACAAATAAACAATAAAGACACCTGATACTAGACCGGACAACAAGACAGTATATGCAATTGGGCATCATATATATGTATATATACACATGCATTTATATGCATGCATTGGCAACTGTTTTGATTGGAAATTAAATGAAGGCTGGTCTCTGACTTTTGCACAGTACTGTATACACTCACATGCATATTTCATACATACTTCTAGCCAAACATACAGCTGAGACCTTCATACAGTCCAAAACCTCAGAGCATTAAATAGTACAATGCATTTCTACTTGTGTATGCATGCTTCTGCTGTTCTATTGAGTGGTACAATTGCAGTCCTCACCTCACCTCATGATTTACTGCTACTGACTCTGTGCCATAAATTCAACTTCATTCTCCCTCCCAAACAAACAAAGAACTCAAAACACTCGCTTGACAAACGCTTCACTTTAGCCAAATGTATGCCATGCGTCACAGATGACTTTATATGCATGTTACGCAATGTTGTGGTCATGATTATACTAGACCACAGTGGCTTTATTCCCAGGGTCTTATGAGGCAGCTGTCACACGAATAAAGCCAAAGCACTGTCTCTCTGCTAATGTTAGTGCTAGGCAGGCCCCAGACAGCTGAGGGTCAGGGTTACAGCTCTGGCATACCCATAGAAGAGACCTGAACAGAAGGTCAGATTCAATCAACCAGCACAAGTAAACACTGTGAAGTCCATAAACAGTAGCTGTGTAGATCCATCCTTTACAAACCAGTGTTTAAAGTGGAATTTCGTCGAGTTTTCAAAATTTCTGCATAATTCAGTCATTAAGATGTAAACAAAGTCATTCAGAGAGGGTTGATGTGAAAAGGTTCATTGTAGAGAAATATACAGTACATCATTTTCTTTACAGTGGTGATGATAGAAACAAGGAGTCGCCATATCTACAACACAAATATAGGCATTGTACTTTCTATCCGCAACCACCAGTGAACCTACTTGTGCCTTCTGAGTTTTTATAAGTAATGCTGATGATGGTAAAATAGTTATACATCTGAAAAAAAAATGTTTTGGGTGACAATCCAGCACAACTTGCATTAAACCACTATGAATGACTGTTTACATCTTAACCATTTAATTTTGCAGACATTTTGAAAAATTGATGGAATGTTCTGAAATGTATAAAATGATTCTAATCTAAAACTTCAATGCAACAGATTTCAAATAATTAGTAGGAAGACAGGAAGCTGTAAATGCAAGACTAATAATAATAATAATAATCATCATCATCATAATAATAATCAAATTTTTAATGTGTCTGAGAATTAGATAATCCTGAAATGGCTGAGAAGCTGTATAGCATCAAAAATAAAGATTTCATAAAATGAATATCCAGAAATGCCTCAAATTTTAAAATAGATTGTCATATTTTGAGGCAGATAAATGTATAATCCATTAAACATAATCATTAAACAAAATACGTTCATTCAATACATTTGAAATTTTAATGAAACATTAACACCTTTTGGCTTTTAGTTTATAATATTAAATTGGCACTGTATGTTATTGTATATAAAATAACAAAATTATGACTATGAACCTTTTGAATGAGAATATTACTGATAAGGAAAGCCCTGAAGGTCTTTTAGAGAAGTAAGAAGCACTGTAACAGTCCTATTTCATCCTGCCTAAATCATTTTTTGAGTACGATTCATTTATATTCATCACTCCTTCATCACATGAGCAACCACAACTACAGCACTCCCACTCTACGCACAATTAGTGTGGGCCTGCACAATATCCCACTGTGCTCTGAGAGACAGACCACAGGGGGAATATTTCTATAGCTGCTGCAGCGACTGGGATGGTGATACAGTGTCTACTATTGTGAGGACAGAGTGTTACAGTAACAAGAGCTTACAGTGACCTGGACCAATGCTATTATTCTCAAAGTGACAGCCTTCAGAATGACAACACAGAGTATAATAAACAGTCATTTAGGGCTTACTTGATCATAAACTACTCAATGAATCAGCAGTGGTTAGTCAGCAACTTGCATGACGATAAGGCCCATTTTAAATTCCCTCTATTATATTTAAATATATATTTTATTGTTGCAGTCTCTTAAAGCATGGTGTGTTATTCAGTGAAGTCAATACTTTTTTGAAAACTGCAATTACTTGAATAGTCATCAGAACAATGGGTAGATTACTCTATTACAAATATAATCAGCAGTGACAGCCCTACAGTCATTACTCTGATCCACTGCCACGTCAAATCCCCATCAGGCTACAGCATTCAGTCATACAGGTTCACACGAGCATAGGAGCTTCAGCCAGTGAGCAGCTGCACACAGTGAGCCTCACCTTTTCTTTTGGATCCTTCACTTGGTCTCATCTTCTCCAGAGGCTGAACAGCAGGCGGGTGTTGTTTCTCATGGTATACGTGTGTGTATGTGTCAGTGGGTATTGGAGGTGTTAGTGCAGAGCTGCTCTCTCCTCTGTTTTGCTGTGTTGTGTTTGGCTCTGCAATGCGCCGAGCAGTCTCGTGGCTGCAGTCTCTCATTCAGCCCAGAACACACACACACACACACACACACACACACACACACACAAAAATCTGCCTTTCATAACTCCTCCACCCACATCCCTCTCTCTCTCTCTCTCTCTCTCTCTCTCTCTCTCTCAGCACCACGTCACTGCAAACAGGAGAAACTTGACCTAATTATACAGCACACTTAACCTAAGAGGGGGAAAGAGGTGTCTCTCTCTCTTTCTCTTCTGCATCTCTCTCCTCTATCTCTGTGTGTCTCTCTCTCTCTCTCTCTCTCTCTTCTCCTTCTTGGATCTCTTTCCTCCATCTGTGTCTCTATCTTCTCCTTATCTCTTTATTCTCTTTTTAGGTGTGTCTCTCTTCTCCATCCCTCTCTCTCTCCTCCACCTGTCTCTCTCTCTTCTCCATCTGTATCTCTCTTGTCCATCTCTCTCCCCTTCACCTGTCTCTTCTCCATCTGTGTTTCTCTCCTCCATCTATATTTATCTCTCCTCCATCTGTATGTCTTTCTCTCTATTCTCATCTCTCTTCTCCATCTATGTGTCTTCCTCTCTATTCTCCATCTGTCTCTCTCCTTCATCTATGTGTCTTCCACTCTTCTCCATCTGTTTCTCTCCTCCATCTATGTCTCTCTCTTTTCTCCATCTGTCTCTCTCTTCTCTATCAGTGTGTCTCTTATTTCCTTCTCTGCCTCTCTCTCCATCTCTGTACTTCCATTGTGAAAGAAAAAAGCTGAATTGTAGACAATAGCAGGACATAAAGCCTCCTACCTTAGTGTTTATGAGAAAGGTGACGATCAGGGCTGAATTTTGCATGCATGTGTGAAATATACCATTTAGTGCCTTATATTTTTTATGTTATGTAAATGTATTGAAACATTTGTATTGAAATGATAGTTCTGCTGGTTCAGAGCTAGACTGCTGACATCCTGCAGTACACATTGGTCTGTCTGTTACTGTCTTCATAAGATCATTATTATTGTTATTGTTGTGGTGTATATTGTTAAAATTTATGTGGATGTAAATAATAAAAATAGAAAGAAATTGTATTCAATGAATATAAAGTAGATTAATGTTTCAAATGAAAAGAAGCTGAAAAAAGGAATGCAATACTGAAAATCACAGTAAATCAAGATATAGTACTGTGGTACACTAAGAATTCTTAATATATTTAGTACAACAAAACAGAAATGGTCAAGTATTTAAACCACTGGAATCTGTCTAACACACAAAAACATTTTACATCAACAACAGCATGTTGCTCCCAAGGCACACACACACACACACACACACACACACACACACACACACACACACACACACACACACACACACACACAGCCAGCATTTGTTTGTTTTTTTCTTTTAGAATGAATGCAATTGCAATTACAAGGCAAAGTGAGAAAACAACACAAATAATTTACAGCTTACTGCCTGATTCATCATATCATACAAGACTCAGACTAGTGCAATGTACATGAGAGCAAAACAGTATGCTGGACACAGCATAAACATACATATAAACTGCTGAATACTTCATTCTAAACTATACTACACTCACCACTATACATCCCACTCATCCACAACAGTAGCAAATGTACTCTTAAAGGGTTAAATTAAATGAATGGTTGTCTCAAAAATCTTAATTTCACAGTGTTTTGGCTGATCAACTACACTCTTAAAAACAGAGGGTTCATCAAGGATTCCTCAGTAAAGGGAATGGTTCTCTTTAGGTTTTCTATACAGATCCATTGTCTGCTTAAATGGTTCTTTGCATGGTGAAATCATTCTTCAAATTGATGGAGAATGTGTTGTGTATGGTTCTTTATATAACTTGTTAGACAATGGTTCTATATAGCACGACATACAACACATTATCAATCTGAAGAACCATTTTGCCATGCAAAGAACAATTTAAGCATGAAATAGTTCTATATAGAAAATCTAAATAGACCCTAAATAGATTCCCTTTACTGAAGAATCCTTGAACTTTTTACATCTATATAGAAGATCTGAATAGAACCATTCTCTTCACTAAAGAACCCTTGAAGAACAAAACACAAAAACAAAAACACTGGTAAATTGCTGCTGTGGCAAGATTTTGACCAGGATCTGTGTGCTCGTCTGATTTATAAAAACTCCAATGGCAACTCGTCCAGAATGTCTGAGATGCAATAATACATGTATTGAAGGGCTTACTTGTATATTGGAACCTTCTGAGATACCAATATTGCAAAAGTCAATACTGTGATAACAATAACAAACAATACATTGCCCAGTCCTGGAATCTACACAACATTGGTTAAGGTTTCTGATTCTAGACAACTGACTGGCCATGAACTAGACACTGAAATTTTGGTATATTAATGTAAATGCTCCGCAATCAAATCACATGAAGTATCAGTATGCAGATAAAGGTAAGATGAGGGCCAAGCTTTGTCAGCTATCAGACTGTATGCCTACTTTATTCTTGATGCTTGAAGAGCCAGTAGATATGCACTGTGTTTGTTTAGCCTTACTGACTCAGAGATGGCCAGTAGGTCAAAAGCTTACAATAAATGCTGGAGACCTGATCCAGCAAAGAGACTAAAAAGTGAAAATTACTATAAAAGCACCATAATTCATGTAAAGTCAGCTACTGCTCAGTACTCCCAGAGCCACATGAGAGATTCATTAATTACACCTTTTTTTCAAAATTTCTGAATAATACAGCTCCTAAGATGTAAGCAGAGTCACTCAGAGTGGTTTGATGTGAAGTAGTTTATTGTAGATACATTTTCAGACAGAGATTTCTTTACTTTGGTGGTGATAGAAATCAGGGGTTGCCATGTCTACAACACATATAGCCTTTTTATTTACTATCCAAGACCACCAGTGAACCTGCTTATGCGTTCTGAGTTTTATATGTAATGTTAATTATGGTAAAATAGTCATAAATCTGAAAAAAAAGTTTTCTATGGGGACTATTTTGCGTTATGCCCTGCATGTATCCCTCCGCCATGAATGGATTAAAAAACATTTAAAGCCAAAACTATATAACAAAACTATCATAAAACAATGTCAGACTTCGGGCAGCTTATATCTAACCACCTCATGTAATAACTGTCTGTGAGGGAGCTTTTAGAGGTGGATGTCTGGTACCCATCACCACCACTGTGAACAATTCTGACTCGGGAGGTTTCTCTAGAACAGAGCATTTCACACCAAACCTCTCTTTAACCAGTTAATTATGAAGATTTTTCTGTTTAAATCGCTCGAGTTCCAATTGGCTTGTTATTCCTGTGAAACGGACATTAGAAAGAATAACACAGCTATTACGCCCCTTATACTACTGAGTGTGCTAAAAAAGCGCTTCGGGTTTAAAAATGTAATTGTTATTTACTCAAAACGTGTGAACAATAACACAAACATCTCTGTTTGCTTCATACAGTCAGACCGACTCTGCCAGGCCTAGATCAGCAAAACTCAAACTGAGATGACCTGAGATGATATGAGTCATGACTCCCAACAGTTTGAGATAACAGGGCATTTTCAATTGAAATTTTAATCACGAATAAAGTTTAAAATGAAGAAAAAAATGAATGTGTACTCTGATTTACCATTGGTTCACTAGCTCATCCACGATGTGGCCGATGTGTTACTGCCCTCTAGTGGCTACACAACATGACTGGCTGAACAAACATTTAAATAAAAGTACCTAGTAAAAGCACTGGTGCCGTGTTGCACATTACCGCCTGTGTGCCACATATCTCATCCTATGGCTCACCAAACTATTGGAGGCTACAAATAAAGACTTATTTTCAATCAACCCAGTAAAAATCTTAAATTGTTTACTTGTTCTTACTATATATTTTATTGGTTATTAATTTATTATAGTTAAGTTTTTAGATGGTTATTTTTTCTTTCGTTTTTAAATTTAATTTAATTTAATTTTATTTTATTTAATTTTATTTAATTTTTTACTTTTATTTTGAAAGTCTCGCATACATGTTCTTAGGGAAAAAGCTCAAGATCCGGGGCATAAATTACAAATTCAAAGTCATTCCATGTTGAGATAAAGAACTGTTTTTAACAAACAAATAAAAAAAAAGCAAAACTACACTGTACGCATATACTCTTTTGTGAAATAATCCATATGACATTTCTGATAAGAGCTTATAGTCGGTTTTATTATCGGCAATAAAAAACTGAGACTTTTAAGAATGTAACGCTACAGTTTCACTTCCTGGTGTAAAGCTCTCAACGTGGTGCCCACAGCAGTCCAACGTGTGGAGCAGCTCGCGATGAACAGAGGGTTTTATTAAAGACAGTTTCAGATATTCTGACCAGACCAGGTACGTTATCTCCACTTATAACAGCTGTACTCTCATCGTCTTTCGCTCATGTCCAGTTGCTCGTTTTTCCTCTTTTATATGTGCTTTTAGCGCATCAGACGTCTCGCGCAGTGTTTACCTTAAGAAGCTGAACTCCAGCCCGGGTTTCACTGACGGGCACAACTTTGAGTTATTTTATATGTTTTATACTTTCAGAATAAACAAATCATTTATTATATTGGTTAGTCTAGTATTTTGGAACCTTGTTTAACGGAGATGATCAGCTAGACAGACAGCAAACTACAAGCTGAAGTTTCTTTTTCGTCACTTTCTAAATGCTGCCAGATTGTAACTGCTGCACCATTTAAGGTGGAGCGGGACAATTCGAACGAAAAGCTGACTTCAGCCTCGTCAACAAGCGCTGTATGAGAAGTTAACAGATTAACACTGTGGCTCTAACTTTTTGTGACATTCGGTGAAGTCTGTTTCTGCGTCTTTTAGGTCTTTGCTGCTCTACAATGGGGGAGTTTAAGGTGCACCGGGTCCGGTTCTTTGACTACATGCCCTCGGCTATCCGAGCTCTGGCCTTCCAGCCGCAACGGGAGAGGATCGCTGTAGCCCGGACGGACGGTTCTGTGGAGATCTTCAACCGCGCTGACCGCTTCTTTCAAGAAAAGGTCGGTAACACGTGCTGCTAAAGCTTATTCCAACGAGTACGGCATATGACAGGGGTAGCAGTGTGTCTTAATATCTGTAATTTAAGAAAGACTTATCAAAACTAATCATGGAGTTATGAGTCAGTAATACGGTATCATCCCGTACTTTTATCTCTTTCTTATTACTTGATGATTAGTGTTGTGAATGGAGTGATCCATTCACTGACAACATGTAGGTAATATGTGTCTCCTGTAGCTAAATGTTTCTGTCTCCCACTGGATGAATACGGAAACCCATTCCCTCCAGTAAAACAAACCCAAGTAGGTCAGGGCCTCTAATAAGTGACACATTTTTAAGTGGTCATTTTGCTACAAACGACTTAAGAACAATAAACACGTTTGATTTGTAGAAGGACTGGATCTTATTTAGTAGTTATATAAATGTATATTTCACATTTATTGGCCAAGTTCTCTTATCGGTCTGTGTCTAAATAAACAAAATGTGCTGTAGTGTTAAATTTGAGAGTGCACTGTGTGTCATGAGCTAAATGAGATTTGCTTCCGTTTACAGGTGATTCCTGGGCGAGAGCAGGCGGCTACTGAAGCCTTGGCCTGGGTCGGGGACCGTCTCTTTAGTGCAGGCTTAAATGGAGAGATTATTGAGTATGATCTCGACAACAACAAAACAAAATACACACTAGATGCATACGGAGGTCCAATATGGACCATAACTAGCAACATGCAAGGAACTCATTTAGCTGTAAGTATTGTTAATAATCTTTTTATTAAAGCATTTATTTAAAGCATCACAGTATAATATGCATCATAATGTGGGGAACGTTGTCTCTGATAATGGAGATGATCTTGACGCTACGATTATATTTAAGATGCAACACAACTTAATGATGTGTCCTGGTGTGGATTGTTTTTTGCGTTCTAACACGTCATTCTTTTATTTGTATATTTTTTGTTTAGGTTGGGTGTGAAGATGGGACTGTGAAACTGTTTGAAGTGCGTGAAGATAGAATACAGTTTCAAAGAAACCTGTCCAAGCAGAAAGGACGCATCATCTCTCTCTCTTGGCATCCCTCTGGCTCAAAGATTGTTGCGGGAATGATGGATATGATTCATATTTTTGACACTGAAACAGGTAAGTTGAGAGCAATAGCTTTTCCTAGTCATGGTCTGTGTAACGTTTTTGATTGACTGTATGAATTAAATTGGTAGTGGTAGTGATAAAGAGTAAAGAGTGTTCCACATGCTTTATGAGATCTGGGACCCATATTCACAAAGCTTCTCAGAGTAGGAGTCCTGATCCAGGATCTTTTATCTGCCACGAGTTAACGTTGTGTTCAGTACTTCTGCTTCAGCAGTAAGTCTTGTTCTTTATTCTTATATGAATTTCTGATTCTTGCTGCTTAGGTCAGTCAGTGCACAGGCTGCTGGTGGAGCGTGGAATAGGAACATCCCGGAGTCAGGAATGTGTGGTCTGGAGTGTGGTGTACCTCTCAGATGGCACCATCATTAGTGGAGATTCAGCTGGGAAGGTTAAAATGTGGGACAGCCGCACTGGAACACTGATTAAAAGTCATCAGGTCACCAAGTGGGATGTGCTGACATTATCAGTTTCACAGGTGAGAGAACTACTGAATGTGTATGCGTTGATGTTTTGGTTTTGGATTAGCCATATTATTTTATTTTTGCTTGCTAAGGACTTCTAGTTCACAGACTCAAACTGTTGCATCAGAGAGTAGGATCAGTATGTCGATTTGGATTGATCAGTAATCTGAGCTGTACTCTGCACATCACGTAATTCATTTGGCTCCAATTTCAATGATTAGATTAAGGTAGTAAATTAGATAAAAATAAAAAATAGTGTTGGAAAAGGAATACTTTGAAACGAGGAACTGTTTAATTGCTATACTTAGCATGCTTTGCAGATTTTGAATGGATTTAAATAGGGTACTTGGTGGTAACAATTTACTGCTGTCCCATTATGCTGCTGGAGCTTCACAGACCTCAGACTTGTTGATAGGGATGTTCATTTTAACCATTTTTGCTAGTCCAATTTATACAATATCTAACTTGATATTTTTATTTTATGAGCATAAATTCTATCATCAGAGGTGATTGTACCTGATTTAGTGATGTATCTTTTAGTTGGAAGTGATATAACAGAGAATTACTTGACCTACTAAAGCGCTGACTCTTTCAGCTTAAACTAGGGGTGCCCAATCTTAACTACGAAGGGTTTGCTCAGAAAAATAAGCTTATCTAACATTGTTCTTTCCATGGCTTGATTGTTTTTGCTATAGGTTTAATAAACTGAACATTAAAAATAGTTTTTTTTTGTCAAAATAATAACATTTCTAAAGCTTACTGTGAAGTCAGCATATCAGCCCCTCTTATAGTAGCTTTCCCTTACTCTTATTGATAAAGAAGATTTTGGTAAAAGCACGTGAACTTGTTTAGCCTACCTTCAGTTTTCTAGCTTGAGACTGGGCTGTCACTTCTAGCCTTTGCGTACCGAAAAAAGCTTGTGTAGCTGAATGTTTGTTTTTTTTGTTTAATAATGGCTGCAAATAGTATAATTAATGAAAAAGTGTGTAGTGTCTTGTTTATACATTTAAAACATAATATACCTCAAGGAAATACCCTAAGAATGGATCATGTGGAGTGGCAGAGTGTGGCTGTTTCTATGATGTGTGAGCGAGGAGCGAAAAATAGAAAACCTGGAGCAGAGTGCTTGCAGAAACACTGAGTGGGAGTGGAAATGTCTGTCCAAAACCATTTAAACCCTGTTCATGTTTCACAAGGAAAGGCATTCTGTGTGTCGGTGGCTGCAGCACAGCTTTGTGTTTGACAAGCATGACCATGATTGAATGACCACCTTGATTGGCAATCTTGATAGATGATTTTATTTATTGTCTTGAGGTTATTGCTTTATAATCTTAATATTTATGTAACATAATTTTGCTTTTTCTGTTAAAAAAAGTGGTATTATTCAGGTAATTGACTCCAAAGGTTTCAATCAAAAAAGTCCCTAATTGCTCGCAGGTAAAACTTGCAGCCACATCGGCCGTTAAGATGAGTAAGATTGGACACCCCTGACTTACCCTAAACAAATTTGTTCTGTTTATTTGAAAAATGTTGCAGATGTCATGTCTCATTTGATTACCCAAGAAAGTAAAAAAATATAATATGCTGTGCCCTGTTCGTTGGTGAACTGAAATGTGTTGCCCAGATTCTGGTTTTGTGTCAACTATTAAACATTGGAAAATGTGATCCAGTTAATTTAAGGTCAGTTCTTATAATATGTTTTGTTTTTTGTTTTCTGTGTGTGATCCTCAGGATGAGACCAGTCTTGCTGTGGGGACCTCAGAGGGGACTGTGGTACAGTTCCAGTTCCTCTCTATGGTTCTAGGTCAGGAGGACAAAGAGTGGGTCCGAACCAGAACCTTCAAGAACCACACGCATGATGTCCGTGCTGTGCTGGAGATTAACACGGCTATTGTATCAGGGAGTGAGTTCAGTGAATTTCATAAGGTGTAAAATAATAACTGTTGTCTTTTACTTTTTTTTTGTTTGTTTTTTTTTAAACTTGTCTTGATTATATTATGTTTCTAGATTGATTTAGTTGCTCTCACTTCTCAGGTATGGACACACAGTTTGTGGTGAGACCCCTCTTAGACAAAATTGATGAGAGGAGCCAAGCTTCTGCCCTCCGCAAAATACAGTTCCCTCATGTGAGTTCTTGCTCCAGCCCTAAAGCTCATTTGATGTGCACATAAAACTGTGATGTATCTTTTGTGCTAAACACAGTATTTCTACCACACAGCGGAGATTCGTGTCATGTGCAAGGAAGGCTGGCCTGCTGCTGTTCCAGTATCCTGGCCACCTGGAGCTGTGGAGACTTGGGGAAAGTGATGGAAATGGTGAGAGGGAAAAGAGAAAACACCACCCTGAGCATCAAATGAAAAAACTAGTGTAAAGATTTAAGCAATGCTGGCCGAATTTATGATCTTTGCAGGCATCTCTGAAAGTGTTTTAACTGTCAAAAGGAAACCAGAGAAATTACTTCATTTAAAGATAAAGGTAACCTATTTGCCTTAATGTTTAAAATACCTTGAGCACAGATTTTTAAAAATAATTCAAAACTAATAAATATGTAACACTGCATGAATTTTGAATGTGTCATGTGTAGGTGTAAATGTACCTACTGTAATGTTATGGGCCTTTGATTTGGACGCTAGGGTGAAGAGCACATTTGCTGCAGTGCGGTGTCACCGTGTGGAGAGTGGATTGCATACTCCACAGTGGCCAGTTTTCGACTGTATAGACTACACTGTGATAACAACAATGTCAGCATCACCAAGGTAGGTTTCTCTATTAATAACAAGTACATGTGCATATAGTCATCATGTTGTCATATCTCTGCAGTATGGACAAGACAAACAACTGCTTTTGCTTGCTGACAGTGTTGTCCATAATGTTAAATCAGGGCACTACAAGTTAAGAAACTTTAATAAACTTTTTTTTTTTTGTGTAGGTGTCCAAGCTTCCAAAGGTTCTCAGCTCAGCCAATCAGATTTGCTTTTCTTCAGACTCCTCCCAGTTGTTTGTGGCATCCACTGGTTCATCAGTACATGTGGTAGTTCTGAACCAGTCTGGGTGCAAGTTTGTTTGCACACTCAAGCCTAAGTCAGGTGAGAGATTTTAGCCACAGTGAAATTATAGGCATGTTTTATAGTAATGTGAGGGCATGTCTATTTTTAAAGTATATCTCTGTAACGGCAGAGTTGATCTTTTTCTTGCTGTCATCTTCTCAAGGATCTGGTCAGGCCATTAATCTGTTAGCAGCCAGCGAGGATGGAAAATGGCTGGCCTCAGCAAACAGTGACCATGAGGTTCAAGTCTACAACCTGAAAAAAATGAAGGTAATCTTTTAACACCAGAGTGCTTAGCTGTCCTGTTATCTTCAAATTTATTAACATAGTTTATCCTTGGGGTCAATTTGACCCTGCAGTTTAAACCTTTGGGTAATATCAAAGTCTTGTGAAAACTGTTTTCCCCTCCCCCATGTCGGGAGAACTGTCAGTGGTCATCACAAATGTTGATAAGAAATATCAACATTTGACGTTTGATTTGGTTGATATGTAGGTCACTATAACAGGCTATTTTATTATCTTCAGAAAACTTCCCATCTGCTTTAGGGCCCTAACATAACATAATCATACTTGTAGTAGTGTATGGTTATGTTTAGGCCCTAAAGCAGAGGGAAGTTTTCCCTGTTATAGTGACCTCAGTATCAACCAAAACAAACGTCTGTAAAATGTTGATATTTCTGATATGTTATACAGCTAAACCAGACTGGGGTCTAACTGACCCAAAAGAACACAGATGGTACAAAATGTGTACAGTACATTAAAAACATCATTATGTTAATTTTATGTTTACCCAGTTGCCCCTTTAGATTAGCAAAAGTCAGTAAATACAAAAATGATGTCATTTATTTAGAGACGTTAAACATTGAATGGGGTCAAACTGACCCCACTGATAATAGGAGGGTTAAGCTTGAAAACAACTGAGTAGGAAATGATATGCACTGAATCATGTTCAATTTTTGTGTTTCAGCCCCATTGCACTCTGCCTGTTTACAGCTCTGGAGTCAGTGCCATGGCCATCCACCCAACCACAAACAACCTGTTCATGGTGCATGCAGATCAGCAGGTACTTGCCAATTGCAGTTTCTCTCTAAATACAGGATGCATCCATAAAGTCTAATACGCCATATCTACTCACTAAACGATAGTCATTTCAGTTCAGACAGTGTATCAGCTATGCAGAGTCTCATGTTTGTATGTTTTTCTTTAAGCTTATTGAGTACTCTATAGAGAAGAAGCAGTACACTGACTGGAGCCGGCAGGTGCAGAGGCATGGCCTTCATTCTCTGTGGTTGGAGAGGGACACGCCGGTCACTAATGTTACCTTCAATCCCAAAAACCCTGCCCACATTATTCTTCATGACACATACATGTTCTGCATCATTGACCAGACCCTGGTAAGAAAACTCTACAACTGCTCTTGTTTATATCTTATAATAAGAGGAACTGAAAGAAATTGCTGTTTCAGTAGCATCAAGCAGTTGTTAGTGGGTGTGATGCACTGTTTTTAATTGGGTTCTTCTCTAGATGTTTTCAAATAAATATATATATATTTTTTTCTTTTCAGCCTCTCCCTGATCAGGGAAGTCAGTTCTACAATCAGCTGACCCTGAGAAGCATGCCAGAGAAGGAAAGGAAAAAACACAGCCATGCTTTCAAAATGTGCAAGATCTTTAAGGTAGGTGCTCTGTATCCATATTAGAGATGTTCTGTTAAAATTTAGACATCAAAACAGTTCTCAGAGGGAGGAAACTCCTCAGTCTTAATGGCTTTATTGTCATTTTCCATTTTTTGATGGCAGATGTTCCTTATGGACTTACTGTAGTTGCTATGTGTAAATACCTTCTCACTCCTGCAGGGGCTGCTGTTTGTGGAGCTGATGGAGGATCAGTCACTGGTGGTGGTGGAGCGCCCTCTGATGGACATTACTGCTCAACTGCCAGCGCCAGTTAGACAGAAGAAGTTTGCCACATAAGTGTGTGTGTGTGTGTGTGTGTGTGTGTATGTTTGTATGTATGTATGTATGTGAGTGTGTTTGAGTGAGAGAGACCCATTGTGAACCTACTTCTCCCAATGCTTTGTAATAACTGTTTGATACAGCAATAAACAGAATATTTACTGTAAAATTCAGATTGTTGCATTGGCAGTATATTTTTGATCGTCAGTTTGATGGGATGTAAATTTGACTTGACAACTGAATTCAATTATAGTGAGTTTTTTTTGTCTCTAAAACAGATTATCTAATCTGAGTTTAGCCTTGGTGTTTCATAAACTCATGATAGAAATATATGAAAGCCAGATTGCTTTTATATTTTATCTTGTCTCATATTATAACATAGCTTGGTCATTTATGCTAAGATCTTTTATAGCACTAGTACTAGTTTGTCAATCGTGTTCTAGGTGATGGATTTGGCATTTAAAAAAAAAAAAACTCAAAGCACACAGTGGTGGCTTGTTAACCCAAGTAATGCAACATTGCCTGGACATTTAAGGCTATTTTTAAAGTAATCACAGTAGACAGCAGAAGCGTTTGTCAGACAGTTTATTTGGGACTAATAATGGTACAATGGCAGTATTGCAGCTCAGGTTTGGATGTTTGCTCTAGTTTTGTATATTTTGTTGTCCGTTGCCCTTTCAGGCTGCCATAGCTTAAATCTGAGTGTGGTGAGCCTGAAGTGTGAGGGCTGAACCATGAGCTTATTGAACAACATGTAGTATTGGCAAGTTTATTAGAGCACCATGTGAAATTGACAAGGCACCATTCATGTACATCATAGTGGTTGGTTTGAATGTTACTGCATTGCTTCTGGTTGGGCGTCCTTCACACAACACTCCCTCAAAAAACCTGATGCATAAGATATGCAATGTACAATGTGGTCCAAATGTCTGATGGTGCCAGTGAAATTGCTTGTATTTTGCACTCTTCTGGTTTAATGCAAACTTTGAGTTTTTTTAATTATAACATTATTGAAAACAATGTTATCAGCATAACTGGAGTGAATCATGAGTTTTCATGAATTTAAGAATTCTTAGTCTTTAATATAGGTCTCCTTTTGCTTTAGCGACCATGCACTTGAGCTGGCATGGACTCCACAAGTTTGTGCAAAAGCTTCTGATGAGTAGGTCAAATCCACCTGAGAGTCGTCTGCACGTGCTTCTATGGAAAGAATAAGTCTAAAATCTGACCGTTTTGTGTGATGGCCTTAATATGGTCAGTGTCACAAGTTTGCTTAAGTTTGAGTAATGACCTAGAAATTGCCATAACTTTTATTTGTTTGAAAGTTTTCAAGTTGTAAAACTATTGTTTACTTCCAGGTTTAAACGGAAACGTCCTAGATTTTTAGTGTTGTCAGACATTTTTGGGGCCTGCTGTACATTTGCAATAATTGTTCACTTATGCAACTCAACTTAAAGGAGTATTCCAGTGTTTTTCAACCTACTGTCCGTGTATACATGGTCGATTAGCAAAGATCAATAATTTTTCTGCACCAAGTAAAAAAAAGAAAAGCAACAAAACAGAAACCTATTCACTCCAAATGCTTATAATGGAAGCCAATGGGCAGTTGCCTTAATACCTTTCTATTATCTTCTTTTTTTTTCTGGCTGTTTCCAACAAGATAAAAATGTCCATTAACTTTGAACACACTCATAAGCCAATGCATTGTCTTTTATTGTTTTTAAGTTAATGTGTGCCTCGTTTTCTGTTCCGTGCAGTTAAATTCTGTACAAGGAAATGCAACCAAATTAATGTCTGTTGTAATCGACCTTATATTACAGGCATTTGGAGATTAGATTGAAAAGTGCTGAAGTATTCCTTTAAGGGGTTTAGATTTTAGATCTGATTTGAACATTTGAGAAATTGAAATTAGAGATGGCAGTTTAATGAAAGGTAGGTCTGATTTGCCACATTTTCTCAAGATTAAGAAAAGAAAAAAATTATGAAAGGGATGTAGAGCAACTCCAGACACTGTACTGTCTCCTCCAGCCTGATAGCATTAAGAGTTGTAAGAGGTGTTAAAGGATGAAGAATAAATACCTCCTTTGGGAGCAGAAGTAGAGAGTCATCCAGTAAAGGTAGAATACACTATACACTATAATCTGCTGACTGTAGTTTCCCACAAATCCCTTCTCCAGTCTACCTCTCATCCTGTTGGCCTGCTGGGATTGCAGAGAACAGAGCAGCACATGGTCCTCATTTCCTGCTGGCCGGTCCTCTCTCAGCCCGAGGGTGTGAGCTGAGGGTGTGTATGTGTGTGGACTGATTCTCATACAGTATGCTGTGTGCATACAGTATCTCATACAGTATGTGTGTAATCATTTTGAATATGGAGCCCAATATTCAGTATAACTGAAATACTGTACTGTGTCCAGAGGTATGTTCTCTGTCTTAGATGGAGCAGGGGATCTAGAAAGGAATCTTTGGCATACTCCATATTCTTCAGGCTCAGCTTATATTAAATATCTCAGAACTTTAACATAACAGTTTAAATGCCTTTGGCTTTCAGAGCATATGGTTTCTGTACTTAGTTGTGTGTATATATGAGGGAGTGTGTGTGAGGACATTAGCATAGCATTAATACCTAGCATCTCATAGTAGCCTGCTTTGTCTCTGGTCTCTGCATTTTGGTTTTTGGAAGAGGTAGGAAATGTTGACCTTGCTTTTCCTTGTAGCACCTAAAATGTACAGCACCAAATTTAACCAGTTTGAAGAGAAGAGAAAGGCTGGATTTGTTGGATTGTTGATGGTTAAGCTGGCTATTAAAGTCCAAGTTCTGTTGGAAGGAGTCTGTAGAGCTGTAAAGGTCACCTAAGGGAAAACAAGATGAAAGTAAGGATGGGCATTATGATGATATTTTACTATATTATGATAATTTACACAACAATATGCTTTTTCTGAGCATATCATGGATGTTGACAGTACTTAAAGGGGAATTCCACTGATTTCTTTGCATAAATTTTTGCCTAATTGGTTAAGATGTTAGCAAAGTCATTCAGAGTGGTTTGATGTGAAATGCATGTTCTAGAGAAACTTAGCAAGTCTGAATTATACACAGCAGTGGTGACTGGAACCAGACATCTGAAGCATTTAATGCATCTAAAAACTACCTCACAGGAAGCTACTACGTGAAAAGGCTACAAATACCCTGCCTGACGTCTGAGATCAGATCTCAGCAGTTATCTGAATTCAAATGGTCATGTAAACAACATAATTCTTAGATTGGATTAAGGCCTACAAATCTGATCAAGAGAGCTGGATTTTTGCTCAGTAATAGGGTTTTTTAAGTGCATGTATACCTTTACTCTGATTTCTTTCTTTATTAGTTTGCGTATGTGTGAAAACAGAGCGCTGCCCCAGGAACAAAAAGGAATGTTTAACACAGAACCCGCAAGATGCCAACAAAACGCTTTTGGAGTAACGCTGAAACCAACTACATGCTTAACAAAATGAAGAAATTACATAGTCTTCATCTTCTAGATGATGTATATTCATATTTACTGCAAAAGTGACTCGATGTCACTTGACGCTGAGTTTTACGTTTGCGTCACGTCTTGTTCTGTGAGTTTATTGGCTGGTTGCAGAAATCCAATTACTGACTTATGTAGACCTGGAGTTTTCCCATGATCTGATTACCCGCATGTAAATGTGCCAAACAAATTACTGACAAAATCTGATTTTCTGCAGTTATCAGATGATTAAGTGCAAACACAATCACTGTTTTTTGATAGTTTTAACATAAAGTTTTGGCCTAAAACATTTTTTTAAATACAGTCATGGCAGAGAGATATTTAAAGGCCAGTGTAAGGCAAAAGAGTACTGAAAGAAGCATGTTTTCTTTGGATTTAACATGATTTTAACATTATCAGCATTACATTTAAGAGCTAAGAAGAAATGTGTAAGTTCACTGGTCATTTCGAATAGCATACAAAATGGCTACATTTATGTGGCAAACATCACAACCACTGGTTCCTATCACCACCACTGTAAAAAAAATCTCAGTAAGTTTCTCTACAATACACTATTTCACATCAAACCACGGTGAATTACTTTTCTTATATCTTGACAATTGAATTATGCAGAAATTTAAAAAAATCCTAAAAAGAACACAGAACAACTGCACATTTTATTCCTGTTTAACTGTACTTACTGTAGCACAGCATGTAGAACTTTGAATAATCATTGTACTAATAGCTTTTGATAGTATTTTTTAATGTGGCAGTACTGGGGCTTTTTTTGGTCCAATTAAGCAAAACTTAGAAGAGCTAAATATTGTGATACATATTGTGTATTTTTGTTTACCCCCAGAGGAAAGAATAGACAAAACCCAGTTTAAGAACATCATAGTGGTTTGGGTGTTAGTGTCTTGCTGGATGCACCGTTCACACAATTTTCACAAAACAAATTTGTGATATTCATGGCTGCATCTCTGTATAGCTGTGGAGATCAGCATTGTTAAACTGATGGCCTTTGGTCCAGGGGTTACAGTAAAAAGTGTACTGATGAGAGTTAAACAGTCTGGACAGTTGCCTTGTTAAAATGTAAAATATAAAGTTTCGTAAATTTTGTCAGTTTAGGAAGCAAGAAGAAGTGCGACAACCTTTCTTGGACAGGCAGAGTTGTGCATTGCATACTTATACTTAAGACTTTGATTTAAAAATTTTATTTGTAATAAAAACATGAGGATTCTAAGCTGCGATGGTGAGAGTTCAAAACACATTTAGGACTTGTAACTAACTTGGACTTTATACTAAAATCTTTCTGCTTTGAGTGTATTTATACCTTAATCATGTTTATTTTATTAAAACAAATGACTGAACTTTCCTTTTTATCACGACCAAAACAATCACCTTTACAACTTTACCCAATGTTTCAGTAGTGACAAATTCTAACTCATTTTGAGTATAACCTAAAATGCTAGCCAGTACATGTCTAGCAGACACAGGTTTGAACAGTTTCACACACATAAAATCATAATATTCTTATTAAAACACAACAAAGTTTCTGTAACTTCACAAAATTGGTATTTCGGTAGTGACAGTTCTTAAGGTTACACACTGATTTTCTGACTTTGGGACACATTTTCTTTACTTCTGTAACTGCTCACCATGGGGCCAAGAGGGACAGGGAGGCAGTCTCACTTCCTGTTCTGAATTGCAGGGGTGTGGTTAAATTAAGGCTCCGCCTATGGACTTCAACTCCTTAGTGTTTCAGTAGTGACATGAAAATGCATTTATAAAAAGCATTTTTTTATACAATGTTTTATTTAAAAATTAAATTAAATTAAATTAATGTAAATTTAACTTCACGTTAAAAAGAATCAAAAAAGTCTTTGTAAAAAATATGAAAAACTACAGAATTCCTGTGAATATATAAGGTCCCAAATGTATTTTTAATTGTTTTTTTGTTTTGTTTTATTTATTTTTTATGGCAGTTTGAACTCATTCGGTAGAATGGGCCATATAAATATTATCTGAAAATGCAGTTTCATGTGTGTGTGAATTTCAGAGGCCATTCTGCATCAATGCTTACAATGGAAAAAGGCTCCACAGGGATAAGGCAGACCAACAATCTGATGTGTCTGTAAAAATACTCACCTGCTTTTCATCCTAAATGCTTGTGATGTTTTTCGTAGCTCACTGCATTGTTGGAGTTACTGCCTGTTAGAAATAAATAGCAAATTTTAAAAAGAGATTCAAGGATTCAAGGTTGTGCTCGGACATTTCCTCCCTGTGACTAAAATTACAGAGGCTGTAAATATAAATTGGTGGTCATACTGACCTAAGTAATCCTTGTAATCTTTGAAGTACTTGTGCCTCAGGCTACGACCATCTAGAGGGAGAACAGTTCCGACAAGTGCATTTAGTATCAAATGGATGACACCAGCACACGGACGCAAGGGAAATATGGTCTGAAGAGGTGATACAAGTTGTACACTGTATCAGATTATGTGTTTGAGGCTTATTTATTGACTTAAGCATCTTGAAGTGTAGATACAGCCACTTTACTTATTAACTACTGGCCTAGTTCTGAGGATGGAAGAACATGTATGAAATGAACAGATTAATGGATTTGCAGCCTGACCTGAGTTTCCACGCTGCTTGATACACTGGCCGCGGTTGGGTACTCCAGCAGAGGGGTTTCCAGGGTTGATGATGTGGCATTCATACCCAGTAGGACAGTGCAAGGGCTCATCCCCATCCTCTGTAGTGCTGCACGCCTCAGCTACAAAACGTCGGAACCAAAGTACAAAGCTGTTTATTTATGCATTTGATATGTATTCACATATCGCTGCTGCTGTATCTCCAAAACCTTGTATCTCAATTTTTGCCGTTTTTCATTTTTTTACATAATTTGAAAGTACCCATTGTCCTTTACACTGTGTGTAAATTTCATGATAAATGGACAAAACGAAAAGACCCAGAATGACTTGGAAAAAGTCTGGTTCTATGGACTTACATTAAAAGTAGAATATGTTTTTACTTCTCCTGTAAAGTTCTCATTTTGGAGATATGAGGTTTTGTTCTGACAACAGCGATATGTTAGTCTGTATATTGCCTGTAATAGCAACAAAAAGGATAATCTATGAAATATATTGACACTGTTTTGATGTCATAGCTAAGCCGAGTGTAGACAGATTTGTGCTACAGTATCACCCTAAATGGGTTCAAGAGTTTTTAGTAAAGTCAGTGGTTATATATATATATATATATATATATATATATATATATCCATGAACACTCCCAGAACCAATTGAGTGCATAAATAGTTCTTGTATGGTTAAAATATTCTTATCAAGGATAGAAAACCTGTTCCATATGGTTCTTTAAAGAATCTTTTTAAAAATTATTCTGCTGTTGTTATTTTCTGCTAGATTCTAAGACACAGAACATTTTTTGGTCCTGTATAGAGCCATTTTTACTAAGAGTGTACCTGAGGATGCTAAAAGCTGAAACTGTTCTTTAACTGTCTATGTTCGGGTCATTGTTTTGGGTTGTGTCATTTGCCTCAGTTGAAGGAACTTTGAAATTGGTTGAAGCTAGATGAATTCATTTTTGATTTACTTTCTTTGAGGATTGTCACAGAAAATGGCGTCTAATAACACAGCTTGGTATATGCACATACATTATTCACATGGATGGGCAAGACAAAGAGGAGGAAAGCAACTGAAAGTAGTTAAAGGTCTTGATATGAATGAATTGAACTGGAAATTGAACGAATCAGAAATGACCCAAAACTTGCTCTCTTGGTGACAGAAAACTTGAATATAGGAAAAGGATAAGCCACTACACCAGGAATCTTCTCTTGTGGTCCGGGTGGGCTGATGTCCAGCAAAGTTTGGGGATTTGCCTACTCAAACACACTTCAGTTTGTTAAGCTTAAGAGGTGTGACTGTGCAGGGAAATCACCAAAACTGTGCTGGACAACTACACCATTAAAAAAGTATGTGAACTCTAGGCATAGAGTGTTCAATGACAGATAGTTAAAGTGTCCAGTTGTAAGATCAGTTGAAGTGTAAAATGTACTGGGCATTAATACTCACCCTGTAAAACCTCCTCTGGTCCATCTAAGAGCCAGCCATTTCCACCCAGCCACCGTGGTTTTGGCTGCACCAACCAATCCAGCACTGATCAATAACAGATCAATACACAGAGAAATTAGTACATTATTAGAACTGTATTATTGTTTTAAAAATGTTTTAAAAGTTTTGTGAGAGGTTCAAGTTTCTCTACAATGTAAATCATAAGCGTGTTCTGAGCTTTCTGTATGTGTGCATACGTGTGTGATGTATGTGACTGAATGTGTACTCCCACCAGGTGGAGGCTGAACTGACTCCAGGCAGGCGTAGATGCAGCCATTGTAGCAACAACGTTTGTGTCTCTCACACTCGGAGTCTGAGCGGCAGCCCGGTACCTCACATGCCCGCTCGGGCAGCATCTGTGGCGGGGGTGGACACCGGTCATTCTTCTGATACTGAGTGGACTGGGACTGGCTGGGATACTCGTAGTCCTGGCAGCAAATGGAGGATACAAAGAGAAAGGAGTGTTAACTTAATCCTCAGAGACCTGCTGTTGCAAAACTGCAACAATTGTCTGAGTTAATGTCACTAAAACTACATCTCCGGTACATCACCGGTTCATTCTCAAACACAAATTTGAGCCATTTTTGTGAATGCAACCCTGGCCTTAAAGGAGAATTCTACCAAATGTTCAAGATTTCTGCATGATACAGTGGAATTATGGCAACAGTCATTCAGAGTGGGTGAAATGGTTCATTGTAGAGAAACGTACTGACTCCAGGTGTCCAGGTGTCACAATGTCTACAACACATGTACAGCCATTTTATGTACTATCCAAAACCCGTAAACCGGCACTGTTTTGCCTTGCCTGCATGTAACTCTCCACAATTAATGGATTTTTAAAAATATGGTTTAGAATGAATCTTCAAACAATTATGAAATAATGTCTCAGACATTGGGCAGTGCATTCATAATATTTCATGTAATAACTTTCTGTGAGGTAGATTTATGAGGCATTAAATCAAACATTTGGTTTTTATCTCTACCACTGTGACCAGTTATGACTTGGCAAGTTTCTCTGGAACAGAGGATTTCACATCAAACCCCTCTGAAAGACTTTGTTTACATCTTAACCATTTAATAATGCACAAAATTTGAAACTAACTCTGCTCTTGTAGAACCCCTGCCGTGGACATTTTCAACTATTTTCACCTCAAAATCTGTTCCAGCTACAGAGAATTTATTTTGTGGTAGGGTTTTGTTGTGCAGGCTTACATATTAAGATTTTAGATGTAGAAGACCCCGTTTATGTAGCCAATATCTATATAGTGCAAAATTAAAAAATGATGTTTCTCACTGTAAAACAGCAAAGAACTTGAGGATTTCATCATCTACGGTGCACAATATCATTACAAGATATAGAGAATTTAGAGAAATCTCTGTCTGCAAGGGACAAGGCCAAAAAACAATATTGGCTGGCCATGATTGTTGGTCCTTCAGGTGGCACTGCAATAAAAGCAAACACAATTCTGTAGTGGAAATCACTGCATGGGCTCAGGAACGCTTCCGAAAACCCTTGTCAGTGAACACAGTTTGTTGCTGCATCCACAAATGCAAGTTAAAACTCTTCTATGCAAAGAAGAATCCATATATAAACAAGATAACTGAATTGAAGATGTAAAGTGTCCTGTGGTCTGACTAATCAAAATTTCAGTTTTTTGGAAATGATGGACGCTGCGTCCTCCGGGCTAAAGAGGAGATGGATCATCTGTCTTGTTATCAGCGCACAGTTCAAAAGCCAACATCTGTGATGGTATAGGGGTACATTAGTGCACATGACATGGGTGACTTGTACACCTGTTAAGGCACCATCAATCCTGAACGCTATATACAGTTTCAGAGCATATGTTGTAGGAGTGCGGGAAAAAATCAATTCTTAGATGCATCGCGATGCGGACGATTCTGAAACGATTCACAAATGTCAAAAATCGATTTTCTAAATATTTAATTTATAACGTAATGTCGACGGAACGCAAAGGGCGGAACTTGGAAGTGCGGAAGTGCAGCGCCCAGACAGTCTGTGGTGGCACATAACAAAAACACAACTGGATGAGCGACAAATCCGACCGTCTCCCTCTGGGTTAAAAGCCAGGTTAGATCAGGAGTCACAACACAAATATTAAGAAGTGCCATTTTGTCCTTTCAACAAAAATCAAACCACCTTGGCAGCCACAACATTTATGTCCAGTATGTGTCAGTATGTGTTAATGTCCTAGTATAGACTAAACAATATAAACAAAAATGCGGACTTACTCTACTCTGCTTTAAGCTTTAGCTATAGCCGCTTTTCTTCCATCTCCGCCAGAAAACCTTTCCTCAAAAGTTGAACAGTTTCTTGTAAAATGTCTCTCAGCTTTCGGCTGTTTTACGAGGCAGAAGTCGCTTTGCATTCTCCAGCTTCTTGCTGAACTTTCCCGTTCCACCTTAAATTCTGACTGAGATGCCGAATGTAATTGCGGCACCATTTAAGGTGGAACGGGAAAATTAGAAAGAGAAGGGACTTCATCTTCGCAACTTTTTAGTTAGTGTTTGACAGTCTCTCGTTGCAGATTTAACGTACCAGGAAACCAACTGCACTACTTATAAATGCGAATAAGTCCATTCATCTCCAAATGTTCGTCTGTCTTTCTCTTTTCCTTTTTCGTTTGGTAATAGCTCGGCTATATATATATATATTGGGCATAAATGCATTATGGATCATTACAAATACTTAGCTTTAAAAGTACCAAGTCCTCACACAGTAAGAAAATAGAAATCATGTATAGAAAAAAAAGATGCATCGAGATCCAAAAACCTCCATGAAAAACGGACGCAAAACATCGTGTACCCTGCCCGGGAGAGGGTCACCGGGACCTACCCCTGGAGCCAGGCCTGGGGGTAGCGTCCCTCGGCAAGCGCCTGGTGGCCGGGCAGCCCACGTAACCCGGCCGGGCTCAGCCCGAAGAGGCAACGTGGGGGGACCATGTGGGCCCACCACCCGCAAGGTCCAGCATGGGGGAGTGGTGCAGTGCCGTACAGGCAGTGGGAGATTGCAGGGGGGCCCTTGGTGGCCTAGGCCCCTGCGGCAGAAACTGGTTCTTGGTACGTGGAACGTAACCTCACTGGGGGGGAAGGAGCCGGAGCTTGTGCGGGAGGTTGAGAGGTACCAACTAGATATAGTTGGGCTCACCTCCACCCACAGTATCGGCTCTGGAACCAAACTCCTGGATAGGGGTTGGTCCCTCTCCTACTCCGGGGTTGCACAAGGTGAGAGGCGCCGGGCGGGTGTGGGGATACTCACGAGTCCCCGGCTGGCGGCAGTACAGTTGGAGTTTGTCCCGGTGGACGAGAGGGTCGCCTCAATGCGTATTAAAATCGCAGAGAGGAAAACTCTGACTGTTGTGTGTGCTTATGCACCAAACAACAGGTCGGAGTATGCGGGAGGTTGAGAGGTACCAACTAGATATAGTTGGGCTCACCTCCACCCACAGTATCGGCTCTGGAACCAAACTCCTGGATAGGGGTTGGTCCCTCTCCTACTCCGGGGTTGCACAAGGTGAGAGGCGCCGGGCGGGTGTGGGGATACTCACGAGTCCCCGGCTGGCGGCAGTACAGTTGGAGTTTGTCCCGGTGGACGAGAGGGTCGCCTCAATGCGTATTAAAATCGCAGAGAGGAAAACTCTGACTGTTGTGTGTGCTTATGCACCAAACAACAGGTCGGAGTATTCGGCCTTCTTGGAGCAAGTGGGCGGGGTTCTGGAAAGGGTCCCAACTACAGACTCCATAGTCTTACTGGGAGACTTCAATGCTCATGTTGGCAATGACTGGGAGACCTGGAGAGGCGTGATTGGGAAGAACGGCCTGCCCGATCTAAACCCGAATGGTGAGTTGTTATTGGACTTGTGTGCTAGGCATGGATGGTCCATAACGAACACCAAGTTCCAACCCAAGGATGTTCATAAGTGTACGTGGTACCAGAGCTCCTTGGCTGAAAGGTCAATGATCGACTTTGTTGTCGTTTCATCTACTCGGGACCGTATGTTCTGGACACTCGGGTGAAGAGGGGTGCTGAGCTGTCGACTGATCACCACCTGGTGGTGAGTTGGATCAGATGGCAGGGAAGACTAATGGTCAGACCCGGTAGGCCCAAGCGAATAGCGAGGGTGTGCTGGGAATGACTGCCGGAGGCCCCTGTTCGGAATGATTTAAACTCCCACCTCCGGGAGAGCTCTCTCATGTCCGGCAGGAGGTAGGAGACATGGAGTCTGAATGGACCCTGTTCAAAACCTCCATTGTGGAAGCTGCCAGGCATGGCTGTGGCCAAAAGCTTGTGGGTGCCTGTCAGGGCGGTAACCCAAGAACCCCCTGGTGGACACCGGTGGTGAGGGAGGCCGTCAAGCTGAAGAAAGAGGCCTTTAGGGACTGGATGGCCCGAAGGACTCCCGATTCAGCAGATAGGTACCGACATGCAAAAAAGGTGGCAGCTGCAACTGTGGCAGAAGCAAAATCCAGGGCGTGGGAGGAGTTTGGTGAGGCCATGGAAAAAGACTTTCGGTCGGCCTCGAGGAGGTTCTGGACAACTGTCCGGCGACTCAGGAGTGGTCGGGGTGACTGCGCCCAGGCTGTATTCAGCAGGGGTGGAGAAACTCTGACTTCAAATGAGGATATTGTCGGTCGGTGGAAAGAGCACTTTGAGGAACTCCTTAATCCGGGTGACATGCCTCCCTCACGGGAGTCAGGGCCAGAGGCCTCTGGCTTGTCAAGCTCCATTTCCCTGGTGGAGGTCACTGAGGTAGTTGGCAAGCCTCTGCAATAGTGCATGGACCTCGGGCACAGTACCCTTGGACTGGCAGACCGGGGTGGTGGTCCCTATTTTCAAGAAAGGGGACCGGAGGGTGTGTGCCAACTATCGGGGTATCACACTGCTCAGCCTCCCTGGGAAAGTCTATGCCAAGGTGCTGGAAAGGAGACTTCGGCCGATAGTTGAACCTCAGATTGAGGAGGAACAATGCGGATTCCGTCCCGGCCGTGGAACAATGGACCAGCTTTTCACCCTCTCACGGATTGTTGAGGGGGCATGGGAGTTTGCCAACCCAGTCTACATGTGTTTTGTGGATTTGGAGAAGGCTTACGACCGTGTTCCCCGAGATATCTTGTGGGAGGTCCTCCGGGAGTATGGGGTGCCGGGGTTACTACTCCGGGCCATTCAATCTCTGTACGCCCGGAGTGAGAGCTGTGTTCGTATACTCGGCATTAAGTCGGACTCTTTCAGTGTTAGCGTTGGACTCTGCCAGGGTTGTGCCCTGTCTCCACTCCTGTTTGTGATATTCATGGACAGGGTGTCAAGGCGTAGCCGGGGTCAGGAGGGCATTATGTGTGGAGGCCGGAGGGTGGCGTCTCTGCTATTTGCAGATGATGTTGTTCTTTTGGCTGGATCACATGGATGCCTCCA